CCACCGCCGCTGGACTCTTTATCCTCCCACCCCTCAACTGTGACTCGCTGGTACTGTAACCCCCTTCCCCTGTCTGTGTGTCTCCATCTGCTCCGTGCGTCTCCCCGCACTGGGGACCAGGACGCACAAAGAAAGAAAAAATCCCGCACCCTCAAGGTTGCATTCCAGTTCTGTGCCTCCCGCACGCGTGAGACGGCGTTTTCAAAGCTTTGCTTGCCCGTCCGTATGCTCCATGGAGCCCAGCGGGTCGGGCACGTTACCTGGTCGGTGTAGCTCTGGGTCTTACCTGGGGTCCCACGCTCTTTCCCACCAAAGAGCCAAACTACATCAAAGTTCAGAGCAAGTGGTCCACAAAGAGCCCTACGAGAATGCCCCTGAGGGGGGCGCAGGGGTCAGGGGTGTGGTGTGTGGGAGGTGCAGGAGTGTTGTGGGACGGGGTTAGGGGGGTGGGAGGTGCAGGGGGCTGGGAAGCCCTGGGGCCGGATTACCTTACCTGGGCTGAGCAGGGGCTGGGCCAGGGTGGTGGCCTCCCCTCCGACCCATGCCGCAGCAGGAGGGAGGCCGCTGCTAGCCCTTCCTGCGGCCAGATTAGGGCTGGACCACAGGGCCTGCCCCGGGATTGGGGCCAGGGATAGGATGCTGTGACCAGATGGGTGGCTGGGCTCAACTTGTTGGGCTGGGCTCTGGGGTCTGCTTCGGGCACATGGAGGCTGGGGACAGACCGCAGCTGTCAGATGACCCATGCCGCAGCAGGAGGGAGGCCGCTGCTAGCCCTTCCTGCGGCCAGATTAGGGCTGGACCACAGGGCCTGCCCCGGGATTGGGGCCAGGGATAGGATGCTGTGACCAGATGGGTGGCTGGGCTCAACTTGTTGGGCTGGGCTCTGGGGTCTGCTTCGGGCACATGGAGGCTGGGGACAGACCGCAGCTGTCAGATGGGGGGCTGGAGCCAGGCAGAAAAGGACCTGGGGATGACAGTGGATGAAAAGCTGGATATGAGTCAACAGGGCGCCCTTGTAGCCAAGAAGGCTAATGGCATATTAGGATGCATTAAGAGGAGCATTGCCAGCAGATCTAGAGAAGTGATTATTCCCCTTTATTC